AGTGAAAATATGTAGACATAATATTGAATTTCTCAAAAGTCAAAAATTGCGGTACAAATGAGCAAATCTGCTATTTATAGAGCGATTGACCCAGGGGACGAGGTAGGTGTGGCCGCATTTAATGCAAAGTAGCTTTTTGAAGGCGGTTGTCTGCAAGTTGGATGACAATCATGATGACTAGGTGAGTCGTCGCCGCCTCAAGACTTTGAAAGTCAACTCTTAGGGACCTCGGTTAGGAGGGTTCCTGTTACCTAGAGACTTCGGTTAATATAATAGGATGGCCAGGTAGTGACTCTGATGTTGGAGAGTGACGTCGGTTTTCACCTTTGTCGTATCCAAGGTGTCCACACTTGAAACCATCCAGCACTGTCTTTCGAGAGGGGTTATTACCTTAAACGCTCTTCTCTAATGATTACGAAAAATTATGTCAACAACTATCTAGTTATATTACAAATTTTATATGCTTTAATAAATTCATTCATCAATATAATATTTCACCATATTAAAGATTTTATTTTGAAATCAGTTTTAGAAATAACTCAAATTTTAATGAAGACTAAACAAGCAATAAATAATGACAATTTGAACTACAATATAGTTTTTTTTAATCAAATATTTATTTAACCTTCTATAGCATTTTAATTATCAACAAATATAATATAAATAATTTCAAAACCATAGAAATATATATATATATATATATATACATACATACATATCCAATCGTACTCAAGATTTATTAAGCATGAATGTTTTTGCAATCTTTTGATTGTTATTACTATGTGTTATTTAGTATTTGAAAAATACTCAAATTATACAACACTAAAGGTTATCTAAAATATTTGAGCACCACAAATCTAATGTTATATTTCGCTTCTTAATTTCATTTATTCACTTTGGTATAGTATGAGATGGTTCTCGATTCTCGGTACAACATATGTGAAATCTCAAGAACCATACCAATTATTTTTCCCCTTCAATTTGGTTAGAGTAAGTTAGAGGGTCAACAATTAATTTTCAGTCTAGAGAGATTTAGATTTGATTTTTGAGTCACATGCTCACCCTAGTTGACCCATCTACAAATTATAGCGGCACTTACCAACCGCGACAAGCAAATTAATAGTCATTGTCCACATCAGCTAACCATGCTTCCCGTGTGAATCGAATCAAGAACCAAATGGCATGGCCAATATAGTTTGCCAATGCTTCAAGAAAAAGAAAAAATATTATGTTACGTTCGGATTTCAATTTGAAAAAATATGTTAAAAAGCATTGCTTGGCATAGTTCAGAACGAAGAATTCATAATAATTGTTGCTTTGAAAGTAATTAATTCCTCTAAAGTTGCATTGAGTGTCCGCTTTTCTTCCCTTTTAACAAATCTCTACCTGTAAGTAATATAATAGAAGATAATATAAAGTATTTTAAATGATAACAAAAGAAGATGGATCAATTGAAAGAAAATAAGGAGAGTATTTGCCGGTGGTGAAAATAAAACTGAGATAGATAAACATTATAACGTAATATGTGATATATAAAAATTGAGTAACATTGATATATACAAAAGTTCTATTAGATGCGTTTTTTTTATTTTTATTTTTTTTAATTTTTTTTATTTATTTATTTTTTTTTTTAGAAATTTAGTTAAGAGAATATAAAATAGTTTTTTGAGGCTACACAATCGCGTTTAAGACAAGTAAATTTAGCATAAGAAATAATTTTACATGACTTTTTGATCCAATATTCAAATTGAACGAACAAGAAAATGATAAAATTCCAACGGAAATATATTGTAATAAAATTATTCTAACGACAATTCCAATAGATATTTCAATTTTATTATTTTCTTTGCAATTTTTCAATAGATTCCAACAAAAATATTCCGTTGGAATGAATTTTCCGTTGGATTTTAAAGATTCCAACGGTGGATTTTCCAATGGCGAGGAAATAAAAATTCCAACAAATTTGCATATTACAACGGAAATTCCTACGGTAAAAAGTCGTTGGAATCATCCGCAAATCGATCATCTATCCTTTGAATCCGATCGTCCATCCGTTTGCAATCAGTCGTCGATGGCAATATCGTTTGCACCGTTCCCTCTCTTTGGCAGCATCGCGTATCGTTGTTGGTATCTGGATACCAACTGATGTAAAACGTGAATAAGAACGAGAATAAACGAGATACTCTTCCGTGAAAAACTCACAATATCAGATAAAATGCAATAATCAACCACAGATCGTTTGTTTCTTTGATAGATAATATATAGTCCTACTAATTCTGGTCCTTTCTTGCCCAACAAGCTGCAAGATATTTATTTACTCAACCCTAATAATTAAACAACTAAGGAAATAAAATAAAAGAATAATAATGGTAGTAAATAATTTAAATTCGGAGTCGATCATATTTATCGAGGAACGCGAGAGTGATCTCGTTCCCATCATCCTCTCCGGTTTAGAAAGATTCGCTCTCGAATCTGAATCGATCTCGTCTCCATGAGTAAGCTCTTTTATTATTCCTCTCTTCCTTACCTACAATATCCCTTTATCAATTACAATTTTTAAGTTCATATATTGAGAATTTGAGCCGGAAATCATGCATTTTTTTTTTCAACCATCATATTTTTTATTTAAGAAAAATTAATTTCTCTTGGCCCGAATGTCCAAAAGTTATGTGTAAATTCATGCTTTGTCCCCCATTTCATGGGCTACAATAGTCTTTTTTCATTTTTCAGCTTATTTTTCTTATTCTTCGTCGAGTTTGAACGATTCTGGCGTGCCGGAAATTCCCGATTCCGTTAGTTTGTGAGCGACCTTTTAACGATTTTTTCAACTAAAACGGGTTAATAAATTAATTAAATGACTATATGTAGAGTTGTAAAAGTGAAAAACGTGAACATACAAAAGAGGATTTTTTTCCCAATTGATTTAACTGCATAGACATATTGCTCCGTTTTCTCAGGCCTCCATACGACACGTGTCAACATTAGCTGGCATTCATGTCTGCAATTGAATAAACAAAATAGAGATTATTTGGCGATGAGGCTTACACATGGTATAGGGAGGCGAATTTTGTAGTGGATTATTTGGCTTCTCTGGCAGCGTGGTTATCATCGGCTGGATTGGCCCTCGTCGGGGGTCGAGGTTTGGTTAAATCATGATTTAATGGGTATGACTCACCTCCGACGGGTGACTACATAGTTTTTTTCTCTAGACTTTGTCTCTTTTATTGTACCAAAAAAAAAAATAAAAAAAATAGAGAAATGAAGGGCACTCAGAACTCCAAACATAAATATCAAATGTACCTCGTTGATGTGAGTGTTACGTACAACTTTAGATATATATTTATGGACAAAGTCCACTTTTGGTCCTCCATGTTTAGGGGGTATCCAGACTGAGTCCCCATTATTTTTTGCTGCCCAATTTTAGTCCTTAAAACAAAAAAATGTAGTCCCTATTATGTTTTGGTGCCCAATTTTAGTCCTTAAAACAAAAAAAGTAGTCCCTATTATGTTTTCGTGCCCAATTTTAGTCGTTAAAACAAAAAATGTAGTCCCTATTATGTTTTCGTGCTCAATTTTAGTCCTTAAAACAAATAAATATAGTCCCTATTATGTTTGGGTGCCCAATTTTAGTCCTAAAAATAAAAAATGTAGTCCATATTATGTTTTGGTGCCCAATTTTAGTCCTAAAAACAAAAAAATGTAGTCCCTTAACCTCAATTTATGTGAATTAACGGTCCATTTTTGTTAATAACATCAAAGTAGTTGTGTAAAATAATTTAAAACAAAGATGTAATCAAATTTCAAAGGAACAAATTATTGACCTGATTATAAAAATTATGATACATTCATTGCATAATTATTACTTATTAAATATTAAATTATTTTAATATTTAAAATTATTAATTATTAAATATTAAATTATTAAATATTATTTTAAAATATTAAATTATTGACCTGATTAAATTATTAAATATTATTTTAAAATTATTAATTATTAAATATTATTTTAAAATTATGATACATTCATTGCATAATTATAAATTATTAAATATTAAATATAATTATTGACCTGATTACAGTCAATAATTTGTTCCTTTGAAATTTGATTACATCTTTTCGATGTTTTAAATTATTTTACACAACTACTTTGATGTTATTAACAAAAATGGACCGTTAATTCACATAAATTGAGGTTAAGGAACTACATTTTTTGGTTTTTAGGACTAAAATTGGGCACCAAAACATAATATGGACTACATTTTTTTATTTTTAGGACTAAAATTGGGTACCCAAACATAATAGGGACTATATTTATTTGTTTTAAGGACTAAAATTGGGCACGAAAACATAATATGTACTACATTTTTTGTTTTAAGGACTAAAATTGGGCACCAAAACATAATAGGGACTACATTTTTTGTTTTAAGGACTAAAATTGGGCACCAAAACATAATAGGGACTACATTTTTTTGTTTTAAGGACTAAAATTAGGCAGCAAAAAATAATAGGGACTCAGTCTGGATACCCCTAAACATGGAGGACCAAAAGTGGACTTTGTCCTATATTTATTATGTGCTTATAAAATTTTTTTAAAGAAAAATAGTAATATTTGTCATTATCTCCAAATATATGCCGCAAATTCTACAAAGAAAAATATATTAATAATATTTGTCATTATCTCCAAATATATGCCGCATTTTAGTACAACTTCTCAAAAGTATTTTATTACTACTTTTGCTTTATATAAATCCTAAAATCAAAAACCCAAAACTT